TCTGCCTTCTCCCTCACCTCCTGAGTCTGTCTGTCTGTCTCCATATGGTAACTGGCTTCTGCCTTCTCCCTCACCTCCTGAGTCTGTCTGTCTGTCTCCATATGGTAACTGGCTTCTGCCTTCTCCCTCCCCTCCTGGGTCTGTCTGTCTGTCTCCATACGGTAACTGGCTTCTGCCTTCTCCCTCAGAGGTCTGATCCTGCAGGACCTGACCTTCGTTCACCTGGGAAACCCAGACTATATCGACGGGAAAGTGAACTTCTCCAAGCGGTGGCAACAGTTCAACATCTTGGACAGCATGCGGTGCTTCCAGCAGGCGTGAGTACTGCCTGGGGCCAGCCTGGCCCCACTGCAGGGAGTGGCATAGCCCAGAGGGCCCGGAGTGTGCATCTGTGGGTGGGGTACAGTCCCTGCTCCCCCTGGGTTTTATCAGGACAGCATGGGGAAATCCACATACAGGGCTCAACTCTTTGTCTGGGCCTGGGCTGGGCCCTGTGGTGGCAGCCAGCTTGTCCTCCAGTTGCATACACGTCAGGAAGCAGGTGCTCACCAGGCTGTAAGAAGGAGGCTGACTGGTCTACAGAGTTTCAGGACAGCCAAAGCTACACAAAGAAACCTTGTCTTGAAAAACCAAAAGAAGGAGGCTGACAATCCAGGCTCCCTGGCTCTAGGGCAGTAAGGGCAGGCTTGGGCATCACAGCCCACTCGGGATGGCCTGAGTGTGGCATGTCCCCATGGGTCTGCGCAGGGGACCACAGGGAAGCCCCGTTTCCCATGGACCACTGCTGCTGCAGTGCTGCTTGGAGATGCAGAGCTCACAGTGGGTTGCTCACACTGTTTGTGCTCTCGTGTGAGTGCTGCTGTCCAGTCAGGTCAGGTAGCAGTGACCCTGCCAGGCAGTTGACCGTGAGGGTCCACAGTGGTCCGGGCGGCACCCTGGGAGAGCCTCTGGCCTGGCTATTCAGCTAGCCCTGGGCTCGCTGACTGCCCTTCTCCCACCAGGCACTATGAAATCCGGAGAAACGACGACATCATAAACTTCTTCAATGACTTCAGCGACCACCTGGCCGAGGAGGCCCTATGGGAACTCTCTCTGAAGATCAAACCCAGGAACATAACAAGGCGGAAAACAGACCGGGAGGAGAAAACCTAGGAGCAAGCTGGGTGTGAGAACGTTCGAGGGCCCGGAGAGGACCTGGACCGTCCCAGCCTCGGAGCCTGTCCACAGCTCGGCTGTGTGGCAGTACCCAATCCTGCTGGCTGGTTTCCTGCCTCTCTCCCTGTGGCTAAAGCCTCAGAGTCCACAGTGAGCTGGCTGGCAGGCCTCAGGACTTGTGAACTGGCGGGCCCTGGTCTGGTTTTGTTTTCTGTTTTCTCTCAATGCTCCCTCCTGTTCCTGCTGTCCTCCTCCAGATGGGGAGCAACAGAGACCTGAGCAGCAGACCAGGACAGGCTTCACCCTTCCACGGCTACCCTAGCCTTCTTAAGTGGCAGATAAGTGCAGACCCCAGGACCCTTGGGTGGGCTGCCCTCCAGGGCACCTGAAGTCAGGGGAGATACAGCTGGGAGATGGGGGGCAGAAGGCAGAAAAGGGCCATGGCAGGAAGCTTTTGCTGTCCATTCCCTGCCTTTTAACTATGGAGGACGGGGCGTGTAGACCTGGCCCAGAAGGTGTGGTGGGTGACAGGCAGCAGCCACAGAGCTGGCACTTGTCACAGTACTGGCCCCAGACCTGCCCTGCCGTGCCTGGCTGCAGGGGCTCACCTGCTCCACCGTGACAGGACCCCCAGGAGCGCCCGCCCACTGTGGGCCCAGCCCACCCACAGCACGGCGCTCTGGGATCAGGAGGGAGTGAGTGTTCATGCTGAGCTGGGGCCAAGGCTGGGCTTCTGAACGGATCAGAGAGTGAGGCTCTTTAGTGACCTAGGGAGAGGCAAGCAGCCCCTCCATGCTTGCTGTGTGCCTTAATGCCATCTCCTGTCCCTTCCAGGCCTATGGGCTTCCCTCCTACTCCACCCCACCCCTGAACCAGCAGGTCCCTAGTCCCTTTCTGCACCCTGCAAATGTCTGGTGTCCCCGAGAAGGGTGTGAGTGCCTCCAGAGGCCTGACCCCAGGCAGGCACTCTTCCCCCAGTATGGAGCCACCCACTGCTGCTGAGGTCGACAATCGAGGGCAAGATGTTCAGGGCTCAGTGCTGGGCTCTCCCAGGCCGTGGCTCCATGGCCACCACTGGAGCTGGTTGGCAGGGTGCAGGTCGGAATCCAGATGTGCTGCTGGCCCTGCCCCATGCCTCCAGTTCACTTTTGCATGAACAAGCACCCATTTCTTCTGGTCGTGGGACTTGGTCAAATGGATACCAGGATCTCTGTGCTTCCTCAGCCCAGTCATCACAGCAGAGGAGAAGACAGCAACAGGTGCTGGCCGGGCACAAGTTCAAAACAACTGTCGCTCTGAGCCCCTCCTGGGTTGTTTTTTGTTTTTTTGTTTTGTTTTTTTAGCAGCTTTTATCAAAAAGGAACTATGGGCTATTCTTCCCCTCTCCTGGTTATTTGTGCTGTAAATAGAGGGGGGCATCTGTGAACAGCCCCTTGGCCGGCTCCCTCTGGCAGCAGCCAGGTGGGTTGTTTAAGGAGTGTGTGTGTGTGTGTGTGTGTGTGGAGTCAGGCTTGTGAGCAGTCGTGTGGGTCTTTGGTTTGTTTCTCCTTTGCAGGTCCTTTCATTTCAGTCTCTGCCTCCTGCCCTCAGCAGCTCGGAGTGCTTGGTGTGATTGGGGCCCTGTGCACACAGGGCCCTTCCCCCAGCCGCCTTCTGTAGCCCAGGCTGTCGGGCCTGCTGGTGCCACAGCAGACAGTGGGTCTGTGGTCTGGCATCCATGGGTTCCCAAGCATGAGCTGGGTGGAAGGGAAGGCTCACCTTCCAGATCCAGAAAAGCCAGGGCCTCCTGTAGTCCTGGGAGCCAGGACAGCGAGGTGTGATGTGTGGGTTTAACTTATTAGCCAACAGGCTTCCCTAGTCACCTGCCTCTGGCTGAGGCTGAGCCCAGTGCTCACTGCAGCCTGGCTTCCACGTGTCTTTTTCTCGGGGGTGGGGGGCTGGGAGAGCTGTGGAGATCAGTCTCTGTAGGCATACTGAATGCCATGGACAATTTGGTTCTCAGCAGAGGCCAGCCCTTACCTGTGGGTTTGGTATGGCCAAGACTAGGGCAAGCAAATGCCACATCTGGCTGACCCTTGAACCGAAACACCTGCCTAATGCCTCCCAGTGTGATGCTGTAATATAAATCCCCCACTAACCTGTCGACAGTGGCATCTTCCTACAGACATTACAAGCTCGTAACTTTTATATGAAAAAAATAAACAGACAAAAGCCCGTCTGATGCCATGTCTGTTCCAGGCTTTCTGTGCCAGGCTGCACTGGGCCAGTCCCTGCCTGTTTGTGATCTAACTGAAGGGGGGGGGGGGGAGCTAGTGCTCTGGTAGGCATTCTGTCCTCAGACCCACTCTTGTGGCTGTGGTCTCTCTGGCTGAGTAGACAATGACATCCCCCGGCCACTGCCCCTGTTCATAGCCTCAGGAATGTTCAGACTGAGAGGAAACCCTGGAAAATGCTTAGAGGGCGCAGGCACTGACCACTCTGACAACCTGATTCAGTCACTGGGACCCATGAGATAGAAGAGAACCAACTCCTACAAGGTGTCCTGTGACTGCACACACATACACGTGAGAAAAATAAAAAATGCACAAGCATCATGCACAGGTAAGAGCTGCGCCCCCCTGCCCTGTGAGAGGAATGGCCAGGTAGACTCAGGCTGCAAAGCTCTGCCTCCATGGTGCCTTCTGCAGGTCATTCCTATAGCTTTCGCAGTATGAGTGCTGAGGAAAGCCATGAAATGCCCTCAGACCTTGAGAATGAAGCCACACCCAGGAGGACAGCACACAACCAGCCCTTGATGCTAAAGAGACGAAGTCAGAGAGATGACTCAGCAGTTAAGAGCACTGGCTGTTCTTGCTGAAGACCTGGGTTCAATTCCCAGCACCCCCATGGTGTCTAACAGCTGTCTGTAACTCCAGTTCCAGGGGACCCGGTGCTCTCTTCTGACCTCTTCCAGCACCAGGCTTGCAAATAGCGCACATGCATGCAAATACAACACTCATACACAAAAATCTAAAATTAAAAAAAAAAAAAAATGGAGTCTGAGCCACGCTTGGTAAGTGGTATACATCTTTAATCCCAGCACTTGGGAGGCAGAAGCAGGTAGATCTCTCTGATCTCCAGGCCAACCAGGACTACACAGTTAAACCTTGTCTCAAAAAAAAAGTCTGGATTTAAAGTCAATATAGTCACCATAGCAACAGAATTCATTTTATAACCTTCCAGCTGATACAGGAAAATCACTTGTGAACTCTGACATCTATTTTTTTTTAATGCTTAAAAATCTAGGACTACAGCACTTGGTTAATTTTTCTTTTAAATCTTTTTTACAAAGGTGAAAAATTGAAAACCAGCCTTCTGAGATCAAAAGGCAGCTTGGCATCCACACTTCTGTTCAGTATTCCAGTGCTTGCAACCCTAGTCAATGCAATAAAACAAGAAAAATGCCGAGTGGTGGTGGCCTTTAATCCCAGCACTCAGGAGGCAGAGGCAGGTGGATCTCTATGAGTTTGAGGCCAGCCTGGGCTACAGAGTGAGTTCCAGGAAAGGCACAAAGCTACACAGAGAAACTCTGTCTCAGAAAGAAAAGAAAAGAAAAACACACATGGGATTAAACACTGAAAAGGAAAACCATGAATGGATTACAGCATCATGTGAACATAAACTTCAGCAGATGTGTCAGACTTAAGTGGGCTTTAAAAGGACAGGAAACAGGATTTTAATTCAAATAGCATAAAGAGTAGTGTAGAGGTGGTTTTGAAACGTGCTAGAATCCACACACAAAACTAAAAAGCACTCAGAGGGAAGTGTTGTAAAGACCTGTGTGTAAGGACTGAGTGTGTAGCTCAGTAGTAAGGTGCTTGCCTAGGATGGTAAGGCCCTAGGTTCAATCCCTAATACCACACCACATGCAAACAGAACCATATACCTAAGGTGAGACATCTTATCAGATCATGTTGTGAAGATGTCAGTTGCCAGGGGTGGGTATAGCTACATACTGAGACTCCCAAAATAGTCCCTCACCCTCAGTAACCACTGGTGAGAAGCGATTACTGTTAAAATCCCAATAGTGTGTGTGCAATGCACATGTGTAAACAGAGGCAGAGCCTTTTGTCCAGCCGCCCAGTCAGTCCCAAATAAACACACAAAAGCTTATTTTAATTACAGAATGTTTGAGTGATGGCTCAGGCTTATTACTAACTAGCTCTTATATTTAAATTAACCCATTTCTATTCTATATTGCCATGTGGCCGTGACTTTACCAGTCCTCTGGCATCTTGCTTCTTGGGTGGCTGGTTCTCATCTCTCTCAACTCCACCCCTTTTCATCCCAGTCCTCAGTTTGATTGTCTCACCCAACTTTATCCGGTTTTGCCATTGGCCAAACAGCTTTATTATCAACCAGTGAGAGCAACAGATATTCACAGTACAGAAGGATCATCCCATAGCACACATATCTGTGCGGGTGTGGTGGCCAGAGACTGACATTAGATGTTATCTTCAATTGTTAGCCTTCCTTTTTTTTTTTTGGTTTTTCGAGACAGGGTTTCTCTGCGTAGCTTTGCGCCTTTCCTGGAGCTCACTTGGTAGCCCAGCCTGGCCTCGAACTCACAGAGATCCGCCTGGCTCTGCCTCCCGAGTGCTGGGATTAAAGGCGTGCGCCACCACCGCCCGGCACTAGCCTTCCTTTTTTTAAAGATTTATTTTTGCCTGGCATAGTGCTGCACGCCTTTAATCCCAGCACTCAAGAGAGGCGGGTGGATCTCTGTGAGTTTGAGGCTAGGTCTGTAGCACATAAGACCTAATTGGTCTTAATAAAAACCCAGAGTCAGATATGGGGATAAATGCTGAAAGATCAGAGAGACAAAAGAGCCAGCCACAGCCACCACCTCTTACCTCACCAACTCCTCAGCCTGAAAGAGACGGACCTCCTGTCTCCTCCCACCTTATATTCGTCTCTCCACCCAGCCATATCACTTCCTGTCTCCACCTCCCTAGTGGTGGGATTAAAGGTGTGAGACACCAAGTGCTGGCATCAAAGGTGTGTGCCACCACTGCCTGGCCTCTATGGCTAACTAGTGGCTCAGCTGTGCACTCTAATCTTCTGGCAAGATTTATTTGTTAGATCACAAAATATCACCACACAGGTCTACAAAGTGAGTTCTAGAACAGTGTGCTACACAGAAAAACCTTGTCTTGATTAAAAACAATTTTATGTCTGTGGGCATTTGTCTTGGGGCTGGAGAGATAGCCCTGAGGCTAAGAGCCTGGCCTTAGCCTCTTACAGAGGTCCCGAGTTCAATTCCCAGCAACCACATGGTAGTTCACAACCATCTGTAATGATATCTGGTGCCCTCTTCTGGCCTGCAGACATACATGCAGGCAGAACACTACATAATAAACTTCAAAAAGAAAGAACTCGAGCACTCTTAAGCACTGAGGCATCTTCTAGCCAGACAGATCTTTATTATTAAAGTACATTTATAAATCTTATTACTTCAGTCACTTTTGTTTTTTGAGACAGGGTTTCTCTGTGTAGTCCTAGCTGTCCTGGAACTTACTCTGGCCTCAAACTCCTAGAGATCCACCTGTCTCTGCCTCCCAAGTGCTGGAATTAAAAGTATGAACCACTCCCACCTGGCTTCTGTCACTATTATGAGCACTATTTTGAATTTTTCAACTTACAAGCAGTTATGGTTGATTTCTGTGTATTTATTTTATATCCATCCAGTCACTTCACTGAGTTGCCTTCTGTTGGTTTTTTCATGGTATTCTAGCTACAGAATCATGTCTTCTGATTTCCTTTAACACACTTTATTTGTGTGTGAGTGTATGTATAATGGACAGCTGTGCTCATGTGGAGCTCAGGGGACAATTCTGAGAAGTTGCCTCTCTCCTTCCACCATGCAGATTCTGGGGGTTAAACTTAGGCTGTCAGCCTTGGTGGCAAATGCCTTCACCTAATGAGCCATCACCCTTTAACTGCCGAGACATCCCACTGTACCTGTGTATTCACACACAGTGCTGAGACATCCCACTGTACCTGTGTGTTCACA